ATTAGACGGCGACACATACAAAAGTTTTTTAGAAGACAATCTACCCATATTACTGGAAGATGTAAATCTTGAATTAAGAAGAACGATCCTGTTCCAGAACGGCGGGGCGTCATGTCACTGCCTGACCTCACCCCTATTATTTTTTTTATCTGGGGCTACTTTAAAGAAATTGCGTACGCCAGAGAAGCTTCGAGTGAAGAAGAACTGAGAGCAAAAATTCGCGAAGCTGAAATCACTGTGAAAAATAACCGTGAACCGTGTGTATTTCTGAGGGAGGGCGAAATTTTGAAAATTTGCTTTAAATAAATGTATTTTGTTAACAATTAACTGCATTTTACTAAAATCTATCATAACTCATAGAAAGTCAAAGATTTAAATAAAATAAAAGAATTATTTGTTTTCCTTTGAAAATGCCTTAATTTACTTTGAAGGTCAGTTGCAGAAAATAAACCCCCATTAACCCTATCTTTATTTGGCCTTGTTTTAAATTTTAATGTCTCAGGAAGTTTCTAAAAGCACTTTGAACTCCAAATCCCCCCATTTACATTTTTTTTGATACTTTGAAAATTTGTGTGTACTGTGCTCAAATCGTAATTTTGAACTTTCGAACAAATTCTAACTATGTTTAGTTTTATGGGTCAAATCTGGCAAAATTTTTGATACTCAGAATCCTATATTTGTGTACATAATGAAAAATAGCATAATAATTTATTTTTATAATTCCTGATAAACTGGAAACGTTATCACTAATTTAAAAACGACATGAACATAAACAATTTTTTTCCGCTTTTTAATGATATAATATTTTTTCTTCTACGACTGAAAATAACGTCAATATAAACATTAATTCAGTTTATGGCCGAATTGTAAAATCAACTTTTTTTGCTTATGCTTTTTTCCACTGGACGTGCGATATATTGGCATCTCAATATGGCATCCTAATAAAACTATGTTTACGTGATTGCATACTCAAGTTCTTCAGAAACATCCGTGTCACGGGAATATTTACAAATTTTACATTTACTTTAGAAGTGAATAAAATTTATTTAAAAATAAAAAAAAAAGCATAAAAATATCCAAGTAATAATTTTGTATAGCAGTGGTACCATTTTTATAATTAGCTAATATTGCGAAACATAGATGCATATTTCAATTCTGGGATAAAAGTTATATGTGAAATAATTAATAACCCCATTATAAAGAAATTACATCTGCATCATCAACAAAGTTTACAAAGGCAAATTAACACAACCTTGATCTTCTTCTTATAATACGATGTCAGACAAATATCTTTTATCCAGGGAATGAAAATATGCCCTTATTATCCACATCTATGCAATTTATTAATTTTATGCAAATAATTAAATATTTATAAAGTACACAATTCACTACTTACATAAACACGAAACGAGAAAATATAGTTACTTACATAATAATAAAATTTCGTATATAATACAATATGACACTGTTAAATGGTAAAATGACCGGAAAATGTATAACAATTAAAGTGTCAAAAGGATGTAAAGGAGATTGCTCAAATTGGCCCAAATGCACAAAAAATATTGACATATACGTTAATTCTTGGCGTAATTTATACTTTATTTTACAGTCGTTAGATTTTAACAGACACCTTTGTATAATATATTCATTTTAAAAAGGACTTTTAATTTTACCGGTTTGAAAAACATACGAATCATTTTTAATGGCTATGGGTGTAGTAACATTCAGCCAAAGACTGATCGAAGTTGTTTATATAACATAAAATCAAACCTATTTTGTAAAGATCGATAAAATGAAAACATTTTTTTATTACTCTGTGGTATTAGTATCCACAACTATATTATCATTTTCACTACATGCAAATGTGCTAAGACAATTATTATAGATGGTAGGCGACATCATAAAGTCTATTGCCATACATTTTTCGCCAAACACCTCCATAAACACATTATAAGGTGTGATACACTAAAAATCTAAAATATGGTTATAATATAAACATAACAAAAATAGTGAAGCTACTGAAGATATGGATGTATAAAATCTCTTAGCTTATATGGTTAACGAGAGTTTCAAAATTCTCTCTAATCTGTGGCTCATTCACAATCATCACACAGGGTGTGTTCCGAAACTTAAGCCAGTACGCTGGCCAGCGGTAATGACGTCAAGATTTCGACGCCATATTGCACTGGTGGTGTGCCGCCATTTTATGCTGGTGAGAATACTGTGACGTATAATAGCTGGGTGTATACGATCTGCAGTTAGTGAAGGTCTTTTTTGTATTTAATTGATAATAATGGAATCTCCACAAACAGAAAAAATAATTTTGATCGATGAAGGAAATAACAAGATTTACACACTTTATTATAATTTTTGGAGCCTGAACGTTGCACACAAACACGAGACTGCTTGAATATAGCGCCAGTCCATGACGTCACCGCGCTGATCAGTGTATTTGGAAATTTTGGAACGAATCAACAGCATGGCGTCGATTCTTGACGTCATTAGCACTGGCCAGTATACTGGTTTATATTACTGAACACACCCACAGTTTCTGTCACAGAGTATCTTCTTTATTATAACCGGAAATGAATAGATGATACCTGATTTTAAAAATTACTCTTGTGCATTAATTTTAAAAACAGGCAACTATCTGTTAATCTACATGCTCAATGAATGAGTCTAATACATAATTTCGGTACTTGGCTTGATTTCCCTAGTTTACTATATAACTTTTTTTTTTTTTTTTTTTTTTTTTTTTTTTTTTTTTTTTTTTTTTTTTTTTTTTATTATTTTAATAGGTATGTACCTATTTGCAAACAACCTCAAAATCGTTCAGTGTATATGAAGTGAGAAGTTCTCAGGGGTGTCCGTCAATAATGTTCGTTACTACAGTAATTTATATATAATTTCGAATCTAGGGAACAATTTTTCATGATTATTGGGCTTTAGGCCAAACATGTATTCGGCCGGTGGTGCTGCTCGATGAGTCCGGGAAGGCGTTTGAGAAAATCATCGCCTCCCGGATCATCGAGCACATAGAGGGCACGGGGCCGGATCTGGCAAACTGCCAGTACGGCTTCCGCACCGGCCGGTCCACGATGGACGCGATAGGCCACCTTAAAAGGTGGACTGAGGTGGCCACAGCGCGGGGGGAGGTGGTGATCGCGGTGTCCCTGGACATCGCGAACGCATTTAATACCATCCCCCACGAGTGCATAGAGGCGGCGCTCGAATTCCACCGAGTGCCCCTCTACCTCCGCGCCCTCGTACGGGACTACCTGCGGGACCGGTCAGTCCTCTACGAGGACGCGGAGGGGCGCGTCCAGTCGTGGACAGTGGCGGCGGGTGTGCCCCAAGGTTCCGTTTTAGGCCCTCTATTATGGAACCTGGGGTACAACTGGGTCCTGCGTGGCTCGCTCTTGCCGCGAATGGATGTCGTCTGCTTCGCGGACGACACCCTTGTCGCGGCGGGAGCGAAGGAGTGGGAGGAGGCGGTCCACCTTGCGTCGGTCGGCACCTCCATGGTCGTCCGACGCATTCGCCTCCTGGGGTTGGAGGTGGCCCTCGATAAAACGAGGGCCATGGCGTTCCATGCCCCTAGACGCAGGCCACCGGGGCTCCGTGTCCGGGTTGAGGGGATCCAGGTTCATGTCGAGATGTACATGAAGTATCTCGGCCTGACCCTGGATCCCCGATGGAGGTTCGAGGAGCATTTTAGGCTCCTCGCTCCCCGGCTGTGCGCCGCCGCAGCCGGACTCGGACGGCTCCTCCCCAATGTGGGAGGGCCGAGGGCGTCGTGCCGTCGACTTTATAATGGAGTGATAAGGTCGATGGCACTGTACGGAGCCCCGGTGTGGGCGGAGTGCCTTTCGTCCCGCACAAAGGCCCTCTTACGGAGACCACAGAGGGTCATCGCGGCCCGGGCCGTGCGGGCCTACCGCACGGTCAGCCACGGGGCTGCCTGCGTCCTCGCAGGTACGCTCCCGTGGGAGATCGATGCCCTGGTTCTGTCCCAGGTGCATCGACACAGGGCCGCGGCGAGAGAGCGGGGCGAGCGGCCCGTTCGGGAGGAGATCGAACGGGTCCGCACCCAGGCGCAGAGGGAGGCTCTGCGCCGATGGGGCGAGGCACTCGCCAACCCAGCCGCTGGCCACCGGACGATCGAGGCGATCCGTCCGGTGTTGGAGGAGTGGGTAGGGCGCCAGCGGGGCAGCCTCACCTACCGCCTGGTGCAGGTACTGACCGGACACGGGTGTTTCGGCCACTACCTGCACCGTGTCGCCCGTCGGGAGGAGTTGCCGCGGTGTCATCACTGCGCCTCCCCCGACGACACGGCCGAGCACACGCTGATCGTGTGCCCGGCTTGGCGAAACGAGCGCCGCACGTTGGTGGCGGCGCTCGGCGGAGGACCGCTCTCATTGCCAAGTATGGTTCGAGCCATGCTTGGCAATGAGAGGGCATGGAAGGCTGCCGCCTCCTTCTGCGAAATTGTGATGGTGCAGAAGGAGGCAGCGGAGAGGGAGCGGGAGGAGGATGCTCTAGCCGCTCCCCTCCGACGTAGACGGGTGGGCCGAAGAAGGCTGGCAGCTGTGACTGCCGGTCTTCGTCGGCCCTAAGGTGGTCTGGGCGCGGCTTGGCCGCCGCGTGCCCTTGGTGCCATTCGGCATAGGCCACCCCGTCTGGGGATTGCCTAGTACCCTAGCGCAATCCCCCAGAGGCGTGTCGCCCGGTCCACTCGTTGGGCCGGGCCAGCCCGGGGGCGTCCCAGTGAAGTGGCGCACACTAAGGTGCGCTGATCCTGAGACGCCCCCATATGGGCGTAGGAGGGTACCGGTGGTTTTTAGTGGGTAGGACCGGCGTTGTTCCGCGCCGGGGAGTCCCACACACGCCGCGCGCCCAGCCAGCGCGCGGTACGGTGCGTAAATGCATTTTCCATCGTCAACAAAAAAAAAAAAACAAAAAAAAAAAAAAAAAAAAAAAAAAAAAAAAGGCCAAACATGTATGGAAGCTGAGCAATCTCCTTTGTTTTTCTCTCATCAATATGATAAATAGCTTAGCTACTCAATTATTAATAGACATAATCAGCACGATGAAGCAGTTTGCCAAAAACATTTCTTTAACAATGTCGTTATTACAATGTTTGTAACTTGAAGCCATGGGCTATTTGATTAGTTTATAGTGAGTCTATAAAAGTGGATATTTATAATTATGTTGCGTAAATCAGTCAAAAACGAATATAAAAACTATGCTTTCAAATATGCCGCGGAAACGTTTCTCTAGCATGATTTAATTGTATAACTCGGAAATTCTTTCGGCGTACCTATACTCTTATGGTAAATTCAATATATGGCCATTTTGATGTAGATACAAGGACAAACATTAAACCTCAAATACTTAGCATATACCCAAAATGTAATGGGGGATCGTGAAGTCCAAGAAGCGCTCCCTCGGCTACCTTCCCCACCGGGATAAAAAGTAACTTTAACGCGAATCAATTTCCAATAAATTGATAAAGTACAATACTGCAATGAGCCAAAGGTCAAGTTACCCAAAACTGTTAAATTTCTGCAACTGACTTTGAGCTTTACGGTGCTTGCTATAGGATTCACAAACTAATAAAATTTTAGTTTGTGGTAACTTTGATGTCTGTCTCATAGCTTCATGCCATACAGTGTCATCCGGTTTATTCAAATGGTTTTGCACTAAATGTATGGTACATGGAAGCATGTCTTCAGACATTATAAACTTTCAAAATCACCAATCGATTTACAGACTTATTACTTGAAATCAAAGCTCTAAATTTTGTGTTCTTGTACTTTAAAATTTATCAATCGCTAGACATGCATTTTTTATCCGTCTGATGTCGTATTATTAAAAAGTTCTATTGTTCATGTAAATGTTGGTGCTGCTGATGGGATTTCGTTTTGATCGAGTTAATAAATTTATCTGACAAATAGATTTTATCGTAGATTAACAAATAACGTGCATTAGCCAAGCAAAACTCTGTTTCCCAAAAAAAAATTACGATGATATCTTCCTATTTTTAGACTTCCGTACCTCAAAAGGGAAGAACCTTAATAGGATCACATTGTTTTCAGTCTGTCAAGACCCTTCATCTCGGAAACACATGGAGGAATCTAGTTGAAAGTTAAACCATATTCTCAAACCAGTGGGCAAGTCCGACTCGCACTTGTCAATAATGTTGGCTCAACAAGTTACAATGTAAAATAATGCTACAATTACGTAATCGCGTATCGTCCCCTTTTTTCCTCGGACATCATTTGTTCATTTATTTACAAAATTTATGATTTAGCATCAATGACAAATACTGTTGGTTAACATGTAAGTAACAAATGCTATTTGTCCTGAAAACTTATTAGCAAATTATGTACCTGTAATATATTTAAAGAAGTCAACGTTTTTGTAAGATTTCTGTCGACTAGTGCACGGTGTACTAATTAGTATGGAAAAGCGTATTAGGGAATAAGAATAACCCTGTTTGCGGGCATTTTATATTTTGTTTTAAGACCGAGAAATGTTTAGTTTAATACAAACCCGAGAAATGTTTAGTTTAACATATAAACATATGTTTAGTCGATCTACATCAGCGAGCACATCTTTCGATGACTCTTTCTGGAGAACGATGCACCTTTACGATAGAGATACATGCCGGTAAAAACCCCGCCGCAAACAGTAAGTACCCCTAGCACGAACCAATATCGAATTCGAATTTAGTTTGCGAGTGCGAAATGTGATTGTTAAATTTTGTATGGAAACTTGAACAGCAGCGCCATAAGGTACGTAACGAGAATCACATTTGGCAGTGACATTTCGCACTCGCAAACTATTCTAATTCGATATTGGTTCGTGCTAGGGGTACTCGTTCCCTAATACGAATTCCGTTTTCTTTTCAGCAGCAGAATTTTTTTCTCTTTCACTACAAAAATTATAAACGTTATTATAAGGTATTTAAGTACATTATTATTTTCATAAATAACCACTACGTCCTTAAGGGCGTGCGCTGCCTTAAGCGAGAACAACGCTGCTACCCTCCTCACGCAGCGCTACTCTATGAAATAACATGAAACTGCACGCGGAGCGGGCGTCCGCTCCGTGCTCCCGCTTTAGGCAGCCCGCACGCCCTAAAACTTTGGTACTATCACGGATCTTCATAAAAACTAGTATTCACAAACCTCATCTAACTACTTAATATACCTGTATACCTAGTCTGACCATAAATACTGTTACATAAAAAACAAGTAATTATAGTATTACATTTGAATTTGGAAACTGGCATTTTTTAATAAGATTCATTGTTTTCTCATTTTCGCGCTAATTGGTGTTAAATATTTTCGTGATATTAAAATGGAGTGGGGAGATAAGAGAACCGAATTACTGTGATATCATTACACAAAGTAGATGTGGAGCCAAATTTTTAAATTTTTCATCCGCTTGGTTTTAATTATGTACCGGGTTTTTGATAGATCAAAGGACATGGCCAAGAAACTGCCCTTAACGTGTATAAATATTTCGCACTAGCCCGTAACTTTACAATATTTTTTTATTAATTATTACGTGTTTATTATTCTCATACAACTTTCGTGAAATAATCAAATATTTAAAAATAAAAATGTTGACTTCATGTCTGTTTAAAAAGCAAAATGTTCCGTTTTACAAAATAAATTAACAATAAATGTACCAAAAAATATTTGTGTAAGTATATCGGAATAAACCAAATTATTTCTAAACTCCTTCAAACTATGACATATTTGGTTCTAATTTATATTATAACAAATCACTGAAGGCCTAAAATAATAAAATATTTTATTATTCTGATCAGGCTTGAGACAAAGCTGTATGATAATTGATCCTTTAATTTTTGCAAATGGACAAAATAAAACTTCACAGATTTCTTGTCAGGCCGACGATAACAACTTAGTTGAATTTATTTATGCCTTAAAAAAACTTTTTGTGAAGAGTTAATCAGAGAAATGGGAGGAAAGCTTTCAAGAAAATGCGAAATTGATGACTCTGTAAATAATTGGCAACATCTTTTATCAACTGTAGTAAGATAGGACAATAGTAGTAGGAGTAGTAGGAGTTCTCATAATTTTCAAGATTATGACTTTATCAAAAGTTCCCGAGCCTTTTTTCATAGAAATTATGAATATTCAGCCATTCGCCATTAAATATTACTAAGTACAGTATTTATACATTGCCAGGGCAGTCGCTCATACAAAACTTTACCTTGTCCTTTTGTGACAGAAAAAAATCTGGCCGCCCGTCCGTAGTATTTTTACAAAAAAAAACGATCAAAGCAGTGAAGGAAAGAATTCGAAGAAATCCTGTCCGAAAGCAAAAGATTTTATTTCGGAAAAGAGACGCACTGATCATGTTTTAACTGATAATTTAAATAATAAATAGAGTGATAAAATCAAAACTTCTTATGCGGTACGCAAAGAATGGTCATACAAAAAAAATTACGGACAAGATTTTTTTTACTATTGAGCAATGCTTTCACAAGCAGAATAACCAAGTAGGCAGAGAAGCTTACCAATTAGTCAGCAGAGTACAACGTCGACGTCATCCGACTTCAGTGATGGTTTGGTGGGCTGTTTACTATCAAGGAGTGACTGAGTCATATATGTGAAAAAGGTGTCAAAACATTGGCACAAGTGTATCAAGAAACGATTCTTGACAAGTCGATTGACTCTTAAAAACACAATGTTCCATAACCAAGAATGGTCTTTTCAGCAAAGGCGCAGCACCGGTTAAGAAAGCTCATTTCATCCAAGCGTGGTTGGAAACGATCGTTTCGGACTTCATCAGAGCTGAAGACTGGAAGTCCCGATCCACTGGATTATTATTTATGGTCAGTTTTAGGGAGTATGGCATGTTCTAAACGACATGATAATTTTGAGTACCTAAAACAATCCATAAGATAGGCAGTGAAGAATTTTCCCATGGAAAAAGTGCGTGTTTCTATTATAGATAACTGACCTCAACGTTTAAAGGATTGTATTCAAGCCAATGAAGATCATTTTTAATGACCTTCATATACATAAACTAACACACGTAACAAAAATAACCGATTTATATATTAGAAACAAATAGATTTTTCCTTGTGACAATATTTATGGCAAGGTATAGTGTCCTGGCAAAAGTATAGTGTAAGGGTGCGGCCAGAGTGCACTCAGATTCAGATTCAGATTCAGATTCTGAAAACAAGCGCGAGAAATAAACAGTGTAGTCTAAGCAGGTTGCCTGCTTTTTCTCGCGCTTTGTTTTCTCAGTCTGAATCTGAATCTGAATCAGGAGTGCACTCTGGCCGTACCCTTCGACTACACTGTTTATTGCTCGCGCTTGTTTTCGGAATCTGAATCTGAATCTGAGTGCACTCTGGCCGCACCCTAATGTATTATATATGTCTAAGTCCCTAAGATTGTAATTAGCATAACAGTTCCGACTACCTATTTTTAAGTAAATTTTCATATACATAATTTAAGTCAGCGCATTTGGCACAACTCCTGATTTATTTATACATCTCGCCATACCCGTATCTCTTACGACAAATTTAAATATCAATATGGTTTAAATTATCTTCTGACGAATTGGCAAATTTTACTTTCAATATATTAATATAATATTATGTTAATTAGATAAATGTTGGTGTCGATTCTGGTATGATTCTCTAAACCTAAACTTAAATTTGAAAACAATGTATCCTTGTATCATTTTTATACAGAATGAAAAAGAGAGACTGATGTTAAATTTAGTTTTAATTTAAGAGAATCATGCCAGAATCGACATTATTATTATGTTGACACGACAAGGTATATAACATTTCTCACAGTCTATATAATATTATCACACACATCGCCCGCATTGCAGAGATTGAATTACCCACACAGCACCAGTCGTTGGTTTTTCATATTACGTTTGCGAAGAGCCATAGGTGCCTGGAGGGGGTCTATAATCTTCTGGTAACGCTGCCACCTGTTTCTTGGTGAAAGCATACTTTCTGACCCCTATATTTTTCAGAGTATTTTCTCTGCGGCAACCCTCACTGTGAATATAATGACAGCACTTGAGATAAGTAAAGGAACAGGTTTCTTATTTTAACAACGTACAAGGGTAATACACAATAAATTTTGAAAAACAATGACTGTTAAGTTAGAGCTAATTCTGCATCAGATGTAAGTGAATATGGAACATTGATCCAATGTCAGTCATTCCGGCCATAAGCTTTTTGTATAGGTAGCGCAAGGTCATTGCGCAGTAGATATTTTTATGTGTAAAATTGCTACTGCACAGGCTTTCTTGTTTTTGCTCAAAAAGTTTGCCGGGATGTTTACATATAGTGATGTTAATTTTACAAAATGACATCAGGCCCTAAAATTAATATAATCAGTAAACTTCCCTACCTCCTCATGATGTTCAGTGCCTTTTGCATCTCGTGTTCGGCCAAATGATACTCGCTGGCGAGTATGGAACATTGTTCGAAAGTCACAGACATTCCGGTCCTGTCCTTGGCGCTCTTGCAGGACGTAAATCTTATGCCGTTCATGAGTCGCGTCGCCAACGCGGCCAAATGTAACACTTCCACGTTTTTCGGCACTTTCTTGTGCACAGCTATCCTTAGGTTTTCCATGACTTCTTCCAACGGCTTTGTTCTCGATGAAGCTAATGGATAGGTGGTTGAAATGAGGTTATTATAAAAAAAGAAATTTAAATCTAAAGAAAAGTTTACTAGAAAAAAATCCACGCGGACCAGGCAGCGGACGGGACTCGAACCCGCATCCTTCGCAATCCGGGCGAATGCACTGACAAAAAAGTAGTTTGCCTGATCCGCGTAGATTTTTTTCTAGTACACTTTTCTTTAGATTTAAACATCTAGCAGTTAATTGCTTAAAAATAAATAAATCATAACTATAATTGCCATTTCTTCTTTCAAATGTTTAATACTTGAAAAAGTATTCATTTGACATTGTGGGTTACCTACAATGCGAAGAGATGGCGCTGCCTTGCAGCTTTACGCTAGGAAAATTTCGACGCGGCTAATAGGGCCGTGGTAGCATAATGGTCAGTGCATTCGCCCGGATTGCGAAGGATGCGGGTTCGAGTCCCGTCCGCTGCCTGGTCCGCGTGGATTTTTTTCTAGTAAACTTTTCTTTAGATTTAAACATCTAGCAGTTAAATGCTTAAAAATAAATAAAATCATAAAAAAGAAATTATTATAAAGTAGGGAGATAATTGTTTTTTTTACTAATCCGTCTAAATATGGCTACTTAAAGGGCGTCAGTCGCTTAGTAAGAAGTAACACGGTTCCTTTTAAAAACTCGCTTTTTGTTCATAAACATGTCAAATCATTATATTTACGATGCGTAAAAGGAAGCATTTAAGCGAGGATCTTAGTGATAATGTACAAGTATATAATGATATTAAAATACTTTATGATAAAATGTACTGCAATTGAAAGTTTATGGCAGTTGTGAAGTTAGCAGCGAGCGTAACTACGCGCACATCACCCTAAATTTCGTTTACTGCGTCGCGACTTTATAGACAACATTAAATTGGAATTGATAGTCAAAGTAACAGGAGCTCGATGGCGCACGTTTGATGTGCGATCGTGGAAGTTAAACATTTTTTGTAATGAATTGCTGGTCATTGGATGGCTGATCAAAAACTCAAAATCTCGAGCTCCTTCGTACTTCGGAAGGCACGTGAAGCTATTGATCCTGGCTGGATCGGCAATCGTTAGCACACACAAACACTCACTGGGCGGGCGTGGTGGGTCATAGCCCAATATCTCTATTCCACCCGTAGGGAAGGCCTCTCATTTTTTTTTTTTATAGATAGGTCCGATAAATGACTCCACCCCACCTGATGTTAAGTGGAGGTGAAGTCCAGACGCGAAGATAGCTGATACAGCAGTTGTACCTGCCACACCAGCCATCCTCACCCTGCCGGCCTGCATGTTGCTTCTTCACGCCTCTTTTAAAGGATCCCAGGTTGTAAGAGGGAGGGAACACGTGAGCGGGCAGAGCATTCCATTTACGGATAGTACGACAAAGAAATGAGTCACCAAATTTCTTTGTACGAGTTGGAATTGTAGCCACAGTTAGACGGTGACAACGTAAGCAAGCGCGCGTGGTCCTCTGAAGGAAAGGGGAAAGTGGAATAACAGAGAATAACTCCTCAGAACACTCGCCGTGGTGCAGACGATAGAACGCGCTTAGAGACGCCACGTCACGGCGTAATTGAAGAGGCTCGAGGTGTTTAGTCACCTCCTCATCGCCTATGGTGTGTATTGCGCGCCGCTGTAACCTGTCCAAAGCATCGAGCAAGTACTTGGCGGAGCCATCCCAGAGGTGCGAGCAATATTCCACGCAAGACCGAACCTGCGTCTTATATAACAAGCATAGTTGCTCGGGCGTGAAAAAACGACGCAGCTTGTTCAGGACTCCGAGTTTGCGTGAGGCTGTTTTTATCACACTTTCGATGTAATTTTTTGGATTTAAATCACAGCGAATCTCCATACCGAGCATGGTGATACTGCTCTCTAGCTCCAGTGTTGTGCCCTGAAGAGAAGGACATAAAAGAAATGGCGACGTTTTTGCCGTGAAAGCGCAGACCTGGGTTTTCTTAGCATTGAACTCAACCAAGTTCTTGGTACCCCATTCAGAAATGTGGTCCAAAGCCTGATTGAGTTCAATGACAAGATTCTCCCGTTTCTCCTTGGTTACGGCCTGCCTAGCCGCTGCTTGTCCGAGATACCCCGCATGCACTGTACTGTCGTCTGCATAGCAATGAATATTCCCAAGAGGAATTAGGTCATTGATATGCAGCAGAAAGAGAGTGGGGGATAGGACGGAGCCCTGAGGAACGCCGGCATTCACTGACATGAACCACGAACTGCTACCATCCGTAAGGACACGAATTCTACGCTCATGCAGGAAGTCAGCTACCCAAGAACAGAACTGGGCCTGCAGACCGTATGCCGGAAGCTTGGGAGAGAAGGCTTTTGTGCCCTGTCGAATGCCTTGGCAATGTCTAGGCTGATAGCCAACGACTCGCCCCGCTTGTCGATAGCCTCACCCCAGATATGAGTCAAGTACGCTAGAAGATCACCCGTCGATCGTTTCGGTCTAAAACCATATTGATGATCATTAATCAGGGAGTGATCCTCTAGGTAGTGGGTCAGATGGTTGTTAAGTACCTTTTCTAGGACTTTACATAATACTGAGGTGACTGCTATTGGCCGGTAGTTTGCCGGGTCTGAGCGATCTGAGCGATTTTTTGGGTAACGGTTGCACGTTAGCATCTCTCCAAGTCTCCGGCACACGCCCCAAAGAATACGAGCACTGGTACAAACGCGTGAGCACGGGAAGCAACTCCGCTGCACATTTTTTCAATACTACTGCTGGGATGCCATCAGGTCCACAAGCTTTTCGGACGTCGAGTGATTGCAATTCGGCACCAACCTCACGCTGCCTGATTTTGATATCAGGCATCGTTGTGCCACAATGATTGGGGAGTTAGCCGCAAAGAGTTTTGCCAGTAAATCGGCTTTCTCCTGCGGCTTATGAGCTAGTGTTCCGTCTGGACATCTCAGAGGTGGCAGCGAGGGCTGGCAGAAGTTCTTTTGCACGGCCTTGGCCAAACGCCAATAGCTACGGGAGCCCGTAGGATGCAACGCGCTGGGCATCCGCTCTGATGTATGCCTTCTTACAGGCCTTGGAAGCAATATTGTAGGCTGCTTTTAGTGAATCGACCCCGGGATCCTAAGAGCGCGGCCTCTGATCCAAGCACGATATGCCGCTTGCTTACGCGAAGCAGCCTCAGCACAGTCGTGATTGAACCAGAGGTTACGTGTGCCCTTACTGATGAGATTGGAATGAGGAATATAGTATTCCATACCCATTACAATCTCCTCAGTAATAGCAACGGCGCTGGCCGATAGGTCCTTGTCACTGAAGCAGCGCTGCTTCCAAGGGACGGACGCAAAGTAGTCACGCATGCCGTCCCAATCTGCCGACCCATAGTGCCAGATCCGGCGTTTTACCACCGTTGGACGCGGAGGTTTGGCCTGTGGCGCTTTGGCAGATATCAGGCAGTGATATGAAGAGCCTAGGGGGATTCCTACCACAACCTGATAGCCCTGTGGATGGGTCGTGAGCAGAAGGTCCAGCAATGAAGGCTCTTGACTTGAAATATCTGGAATCCTGGTGGGTTGATCGACCAGTTGCTTCAAGTTATGCGTGAGAGCGAACGCGTGAGCAGAGATCCCTGCATGGTCAGTTTTCGAGGAACTTAACCACAAATTGTGGTGAGCATTAAAGTCCCCCAAAAACACCAATTCTGCATTGGGAAATTGCTCCTGCGCGTCATCTGCTGCCCGACTAAGATGTTCGAAAAGTCGAGTTGTCTCAACATCGCCAGTGTGGGATCTGTAGAGGCACACGGCGACAACAAACATCCACCCGAACATACAGGCATACACCGTCTTTCGCTTTGAAGGACTCTTCAAGTACGTAGCCGGGATAGTTAAGGTAGCCTGTGTCAGCAGGCGGAAGTATTTGTGTCTCCGTCAGGAACAACAATGCTGGCCGTGCTGTCTCAAGGTGGTGGTGGACAGCATTGAGGTTAGAGTGGAGTCCGCGTATGTTGCAGAACTCGACCTCAAACAGCGTTGAAGGCGTGGGGGTGTGCACCGCTGTACGTCCAAACTTTGTTTTAAGAGCTGCCATTATGGAAGTAAAAAAGAGACGTGAAACGAGTAGACTTTGTCGCGACAAGACCGGGCAAATTAGGGAGGCATGTTTCCCCGAATGATTGCCTGCAGAGGATATACGCCAACCCACCGGACGGAAGGGCCCCCGCACCCCCCCGGAAGTGGCCGCCGGGATCCCACGTCCTAGTCACCAACCGGCACGACGGTCCACCCCGAGATTATGCGTGACATGATGGGGCAGCCTCGCGAACTGGTTAGGAACGCTCGGGCCCCTGTACTGTGCCACGGGCGGCCAGCAGGACAGCCGTTTCTACGGGTCTCCCTGGCCGGCGGGTCGATGCAGTCCTCCCGGCATCGGTTCGACGGATGCCTCGCCCTGGACCGAATCCGTCGCGACAACCTCCACTCGAGCCCTGGTTGTACGCTGGCTGACCCCGAAACGCGCGAGAAGCACTTCACGGGTTTTTCACCATGCGCACAGTGGTAACAAACCAGGCGGGTGTTAGGCACCCTACCACCAGAGGAGCGGATGGAAGCTCCTATATTCCTTAGTCGCCTCTTACGACACCCACGGGAAGAGAAGGGGCGGTGAGTTGTATTCTTTCTCCGTCACCGCACGGATAAGAAGGGAGATCTGTAGAGAGGATCGGCCATGACCATAGAGCAACGCGGCCGACGCGGCCTCCTTTTCCTCTTTTTCCTGACCCTCCGATAACGGACACCGTAAGAAGTAAATTAGTCACAATAGGGAAGATGCATATATAATATTTATGAAAATTTTATGATTAAAATGTTAAAAAAATATAAAAGAAATGCCACTGCAACGTTTTCATTTTACATAATGTTGTTTTTTAACAATTATTACGAATTAAAAATACTTGAAACAGAACGTATTTTAAAACACCAATCAGCGTTTAGTGACGTCACTCCTGTTATGACAACTTCTTTGAGGTTATGGTTGTTAAAGTAAATATTATTTTATGGGAATATTAATTGCGTTTTTTTACATTTAATAAAAATGGAAGTTGCGTTTATCAAAGCAGACTCCAGGAATTTACCAAGAGTTAGTGTTGACATGGTTATAACTTTTTTTGTCCAAAGTGCAGAGTTTTTAAGTGTAGAAATGAAAGGGACAACATTACTACGGTATGTAAAATTCGTAGTTGTTAAACTTCGTATTTTATTCAGCGGCTTCTACAAATCTTACGGCGATAATGCATCGGCTATGTCCAAATTAAAAGAGAGGGAGAATTATGTACAGTAAAAGGTCGAGTTCTCCGGAGCATAAAGTACGTAAAGAAGGTTATCGTGTTACAGTTATTTTAAATGAAACGCAAAGCTTGGTTCAGTCCTGCCAATGTGAAGATTGTGCCACACATTTTAAACTTTATCTAATTTTCGACGTCATTCTCCAACTGTAAAATTAAAAATATGTTATAGACAGGTTTTGTAAGTATTAGGTAGGTTACTAATGCGTTTTTACGTACAAGCAGATTAATTAAGCATATAACAAGTATATTCGCCGACTTACGTCAAAGTGATCTTCACAGAATCGAATAATGGTCTTTGGAGAATAATTGTCATTTCTCTTTGCAGCTTGAAACCACTTTTTTTCAGTTTTGGGTCAGAAGTTCCATTAAAAAACAATTTATTTGGAAACTTTGTTGAAGTAGATTAGACAAAATATGAGTCAACACGGTTTTTTTTCGGAATATTAGTGGTATTGTTATGATCACATGATGTTGATGGATAGTCCATTTTAAATTTTTCAATAAAATATTCCGAAAGCCGAAAAAATATGCAAAAGTATGAAAATTTAAAGCCAGCGACGAAAAAGTACGACCAGTGACAGACAGGAGTGACGTCATCGCAACCATAGGTTCGTTTTCGCGCGAAAATTTAAATTGTCAATTTAAAACCGCATTTTTTCCGATAAATCACAATGTTTTAATTTTTTAATATATCTGTGGTTTATTCTACATGGAATTCTTTAAAATGAAAACAAAAATAAAAATATTGCATCTTCCCTATTTCTTATCTTATGCATAAGTGGCTAGTATTTCATGCGGGAACGTACTACAACTAAAAGGACTAATATATGCAATCACTAATCCAATTCAATCAAAGGCTAAAAGTGGCAAGGAAGATGCGAATATAACTACTGTGCAGTTATTGGTGCCATAAGGTGTATCAAATAACCGCTGTTATTGAACTCGTGCTTTATCCTGACTCCATTATGCCACCATTAAAGATAATGGATCTTTAAGGGAAAGCTACTTTTTGCATAGGTAAAAAAAAAGGCATTGCTGGTTCTTCTCAGTACAAAATTTCGAGGATTTACGTACTTATTCAACTTTCATACGTGCATTTATATTAATAGCCTGAACTGAATAAACGGTACTGAATTTTTTAAGTATTTAAAACCCCGTTGACGTAGAGAACGTGTTAAAATGTGAGTCGTGACTTAATTGCACACAAAAATTTAAATATGTATGCAGGATTTGGCGGTGTATTGTGTCATTTCTTATGTGTGAAAGTCGTTATTACAGTTTCGTTTTTTTTGCGAAAGTATGTTAACCCCCCCCCCCCCCCCCCCCCCCCCTCCGCGAAAAGCACTGGAATGATTTCAGTAGTATTATGTCATGGCTTCTCCCTCTTATCCGTGTTCCCTACGGCCACGACCTACCACACCACGATATTGGGCCACGACTCACGGCCCAATATCCATATTCCATCCATAGGAAAGGCCTGTGTATATGCAGTGAGGACAATAATAGGCTGATGATGATGATTCTAAGTCAGAGGACTCTTACCTCTGCTAGTAGCGAGGTGATCGGCAGGGAATACCTTCCCATACTTCTGGCAGTACTTGTTGATGCGCTCTAGATTGTCGCTGTTCGAGTGGTACTGCGGCGTCGTCTCGCCCAGCGCTTCGGCCAACGTGGCCTTCTCGTTGATGCCCACGTTGAAGAACACCGCCGTTATCGTGAACGTTAGATGCTGAAATAGATAGTTGATATTGGGACTCTTTCTGACCCCGTAGAATGATCATTACGGCACAATTTGATATAACCACTTTGTCAACATCAAGCACCTTATCAAATCATTAAAATCAATTATTTATTTATTTGCATGAAATCACACGAAAGATTCCACAAGTTTCTTTAGGTACTATTCTTGATACAATGATTTAAACCTTCATGCAAGCGCACTAAGTGATATTGTTAATTAATAAAATTATTACGATACTCCCTTGAAATTATTATCACGACACCATTTGATATTACCACTTTATCGACAGTATTAGCCTTATTACAAACAACAGTTAAATCCGGTCTAAAATGATACCGTCACCTTTGTTTGCTAAAAATAAGACGGAGACAGTATTAGGTGTAAATATAGACTAAGCTTATTTTTTTTTGTAATAAGGCTGTTTCTATCTAAAAAGTCACTGTCATAATCTATAATTGTCAAAATTATATTACAAACCTCTTTTAATGTAAACTTCGTGAAGAGCGAGTCAGAAATCGGTATGTGCACAGTCAACGATCCTCTAGTCCCAACTACTTGCGGTATGGCGGAATTACTGTGACAAAACACATATTTAATTATAATATTCAAAGTTAGTTCAACTTTTTTCAACCTTCAAATCAGTAATGTTACATTAAAAAAAAAAATTAAAAGTCTAATACACTCTTAACAAAAGAAACAGCAGAAAAACCTTTTTATTTCGCGTAATAAATGTGGTAACAAAGTTTTCACACTTGCCCTGTCCAATGCCCATTAAAAGATTTCTGCTATTCAAATGAAAAAGCAACACTGTTACTTCTCCTTCCTCAGACTTGGAAGAACTATGCGGAAATTATAGAAAATCATATTGTTGGTCTACGAAAATCTTAGAAAAGCTCACCTGTGGCCCACTTTCGTGAGGGTAAAGAAGACTGTTTGCAAATCTTCCACGGCTACCACCATATCGCCCCACATGGCTTTCTCCGTAGAATACAGGCTTAGGAGGCCTTCAAAAGCACATAGTGGCCCCAGTCCACTGCTCAGCAGTTTCACTATTACGTCGCCAGGAGTCGAGCAAAGCCAGCATAGGAGACCAGTCGTAAGCGTGGCTAGCTGCGATGGACGTTATTAATGATGATTCGCAAGAGAAATGACCAAAATAACCCAGGACTAGAGCAAAGCTTTTTAAACAACCGTAGCTATGAAATGGTCAAAATTAACATAAGTCCAGGACGATAATAACTGTTGAGTGGCTGTGGAGTGAGCACTGTGTGGCTCAAACAAGATTGTTATCTCGAAAAAGAGATGGCTACAAAACCCAGGCCCAGCGCAAAAGTTGTGAATCAAAGCTTACAGAACAAAGAAAGGTAATGAAAATAACTTAGAATATAATTTTTATTTATCCTCTAAAATACAACAGTATTGCGAAAGGCCGGTGTTTTCATCTCTGGGGTTTAGATCAATTATTTTTTTGGAGATGTAAGTAAGGCTTGTATTCTATGTTGGCACATGTTAGTCTAGGCCTGGGATCGTCGAAGTTGAGCAACTTTCGCAATGGTCGTTCATTGGAAGGGTGACCAAAAACATCGAGTTCCTCCGTGCTTCGAAATGCACGTAAAGCCGTTGGCCCCGCCCGTCTGTCGATCGCCGATCTGCAGTTGCAAGCACCCAGCAATTCGCACTGGGCCCGCGTGTTGGACCATGGCCCAATCTCCCTCTCCATTCATAGGGAAGGCCTGTGCCCTAGCAGTGGAGCTGGTTATGATGATGACAGGTTAGTCTTCAGTGTTATCTTATTTGGCAGTGCAATAGAGATGTAATCAGCCAGCGGGACGACTAATCCACAGCGCGCCGAAGCGCCTCCGTGTCACGCTTCATGTTGACCAGTAGACGTGTGTATATAACTCACCGCCTGAGAGAAGCACGTGTCGCACCTGGTCTGCAGCGCGGCCTGTTCCCTGGCGAAGAGCGGCGCCTCGTACCGCAGCCGCAACGCCGCGTGCCAGAGCTGTAGCCAGCGAGAGGGCTCGTCCACCGCCCGCCGTAGCGACTCCGTGTCACGCTTCATGTTGGCCAGTAGACGTGTGTGTATATAACTCACCGCCTGCGAGAAGCACGTATCGCGCCTGGTCTGCAACGCGGCCTGTTCCCTTGCGAAGTGCGGCGCCTCGTACCGCAGCCACAGCGCCGCGTGCGAGAGCTGCAGCCAGCGAGAGGCCTCGTCCACCGCCCGCCGTAGCGACTCCGTGTCACGCTTCATGTTAGCCAGTAGACGTGTGTATATATAACTCACCGCCTGCGAGAAGCACGTATCGCGCCTGGTCTGCAATGCAGCCTGTTCCCTCGCGAAGTGTGGCGCTTCGTACCGCAGCCGCAGTGCCGCGTGCGAGAGCCGCAGCCAGCGGGAGGCCTCGTCCACCGCCCGCCGTAGCGACTCCGTGTCACGCTTTATGTTGGCCAAGTCGTCATCAGTTACCGCGCCTAATAACATGACGTATGACTGTTTTGTTAATGTCTTCCATTTATAGGCCGATTATCCTTTGAGCTCTCCTTGTTTAATATTGGAAAGAAATCGTATTGAATAACTAAATTCAAAATTAGACAAGTATTCCGACACTGCTGGTCAGGACATCATGCATGGGTTAATCTAGCAGCCGATTTACTGAAGACTCATCCATACGACGGAGAAACTCCGTGTCAAGCTTAAATTCCCGTGGGTGTCGTAAAAAGCGACTAAAGGGACATCGGAGCTTCCATCCGCTCTTCTGGTGGTAGGGTGCCTAACACCCGCCTGGCTTGTTACCACCGTGCGCATGGTGAAAAACCCGTGAAGTGCTTTCGCGCGTTTCGGGGTTAGCCAGAGGACAACCAGAGCTCGAGTGGGGGTTGCCGTGACTGATTCGGTCCAGGGGAGGCATTCGTCGAACCGATGCCGGGAGGACAGCATCGACCCGCCAGCCAGGGAGACCCGTAGAAACGGTTGTCCCACTGGCCGCCCGTGGCACAGTACAGGGGCCCGAGCGTTCCTAACCAGTTCGCGAGGCTGCCCCATCATGTCACACAAAATCTCGGGGTGGACCGTCGTGCCGGTTGGTGACCGGGGCGTGGTGTCCCGTCGGCCACTTCCGGGGGGGTGCGGGGGCCCTTCCATCCGGCGGGTCGGCGTATATCCTCTGCAGGCAACCCTTCGGGGAAACACAGCTGCCCAATATGCCCGGTCCTGTCACGACAACGTCGGCTTGTTTCACGTCTCTTTTTTCACCTCCATCATGGCAGCCCTTAAAACAAGTTTGGACGTACAGCGGTGCACACCCCCACGCCTTCAACGCTGTTTGAGTTCGAATTCTGCAACATACGCGGACTCTACTGTAACCTCAACGCTGTCCAGCACCATCTAGAGACAGCACGGCCAGCTTTGTTGTCCCTGACGGAGACACAAATACTTCCGCCTGCTGACATAGGCTACCTCAACTATCCCGGCTAAGTGCTTGAAGAGTCCTTCAAAGCGAAAGCCGGTGTATGCCTGTATGTTCGGGCGGATGTTTGTTGTCGCCGTCTCCGCTGCTTGGAAGATCCCTCCTTCTCCATGCTGGGGGTACACGTCGATTCTGGTCCCCTGGCCAGAGTCTACGTGTGCCTCTACAGATCCCACACCGGCGATGTTGAAACAACTCGACTTTTTGAGCACCTTAGTTGGGCAGCAGATGACGCGCAGGAACAATTTCCCAATGCAGAATTGGTGTTTTGGGGGACTTTAATGCTCAACACAATTTGTGGTTAAGTTCTTCTCAAACTGACCATGCAGGGATCTCTGCTCACACATTCGCTCTCACGCATGACTTGAATCAACTGGTTGATCAGCCCACCAGGAACCCAAATATTCCAAGTCAAGCGCCTTCTTTACTGGACCTTCTGCTCACGACCCATCCACAGGGCTATCAGGTAATGGTAAGAGCCCCCCTGGGCTCGTCAGACCACTGCCTGATATCTGCCAAAGCACCACAGGCCAAGCCTCCGCGTCCAGCAGTGGTCAAGCGCCGTATCTGACATTATGGGTCAGCAGATTCGGACGGTATGCGTGACTACCTTGCGTCCGTCCCTTGAAAGCAGCGCTGCTTCAGTGACCTATCAGCCAGCGCCGTTGCTATTACTGAGGAGATTGTAATGGGTATGGAATACTATATTCCTCATTCCAATCTCATCAGTAAGGGCACACGTAACCTCTGGTTCAATCACGACTGTGCTGAAGCTGCTTCGCGTAAGCAAGCGGCATATCGTGCTAGGATCAGAGGCCGCGCTCTCAAGGATCCCGAGGTCGATTCACTCAAAGCAGCCTACAACTTTGCTTCCAAGGCCTGTAAGAAGGCATGCATCAGAGCGGATGCCCAGCGCGTTGCACGTGTTGGCCAGGAACTTATAACGCATCCTACGGGCTGCCGTAACTACTGGCGTTTGGTCAAGGCCGTGCAAAAAAGCAGCCAGCCCTCGCTGCCACCTCTGAGATGCCCAGACGGAACACTAGCCCATAAGCCGCAGGAGAAAGCCGATTTACTGGCAAAACTCTTTACGGCTAACTCCCGAATCTATGATTGCAATGCACTGCCACCATCATTACCTCACTGTGGCACAACGATGCCTGATATAAAAATAGGTATATACAGGGTGAAATTGAATGTTTTAATGAAACTTAGTGGGATTGTTGGGTTACGTATATAGAGTATCTCTGATTTTTTTCGGATTTTTTAAAAATGATTTAAAATAAAATTTCGTTTTTTTTTGTTATATTTTAAGTCCTTTCCTCCTTTTGGGAACTAAATAATTATTCTTTTTAAACACGCATACAGAGTAAGTAAAAAACAACTAATAAGCACTACTAAAAAAAACGTAAAAATAGAAGACGAGCGGCCGGGAGCAATGACCGCTCCCGCCCGTTGAATCGGTTGAATACCTGCAAAGCGCAGTGTCACGGTAATAATATTATACAGTATTCTATCTTCATACAAACGGTTGGAAAGCGAGTCATACCTACGCCACTCGAGTTCGATGTGCTCTCGGCGTGCACCCAGTCGCGAATAGAGGAAATAAGCGCGCTTGAAAAAAAGCTTTTTCGTTTAAACGCTTATTGGCTTAAACGTTTAAAAGCATGCGTAAAAAGCGCGACGTTGTGTTGTGTTTTCGTTTAGGTATATCGTTTAAAACAGCGTGAAAAGTTTATTGTCGTTTTTAATGTGTTTAAGTGTTTTATTGCGTTTTTTCTTCTTATTAATGAAATTTTTATTAAAAAGTTTTTTTAAACCTAATGAATTTAAACATAATAAAAACGAAAGATTTTCAATTGAATTTAGATGTTATAATAAACATTTTTATAATAGTCAATGAACTTTCCTTCGTACTTTACAAACTAAGGACTGACTGGAGTTAATATACTCGTGATCCAGGCGTACTTAAAAGTTCATTGATTTTATATACATACTTTTAACTATTTTATATGCACATTAAACCAATACACGAAACGCATTAACACAAGCAAGCATACAAACACACCGTACAATACCCACGCGCCACTTACCCCGTCACAGTGACAAGCGTACTGTTTTTCGACTTCGTTTAATTAAACGCTTTTAACGAAATAAGCGTTGGTTATCCGACGAAATTTTAAAAAAGTGCATTTTTTTACGTCGCATTATAATAATTCGCATGCTGTATTAACCGGCTCACGAAAGATGGCACGCCGACGCGGCGCTGTAGTCGCGCGTTCTATGTCTGTGATATTGTGAAATATTTAGTTCCAAGGAATTCCGCGTACCCATTTTTCGATACTGTAGTGGACTAGAAGAATCGAAGTATGTAGTTTCCTGGCAAAGACATAGATGGCGGGATTTGCACTTTTTAAGTAAAAAATATACTTGCACTATTTTAAGTGAAAAGCTTACTCACACTTTTTAAGTGAAAAGCTTATAACGCTTATACTTAAAAGCGTGCTTACAAGCTTAATATTTTAAGCGCGCTTATTTAAGCACTTTTCGTTTAAACGCCCACCGCTAGTCGCGAATGCGCCGCCGCGCCGCAACGACGACCGAACGGTCTGAATTGTTTTTTATGCAGTTAGCCGTGCTTAAACATGCATTTTGTATTGTAAATATTTGATTTAATTAAGTAGATACCTACATAATTTAGTATGGAAAAGAACAAACGACGCTCAATATCGTACAACAGCACAATTGCTGTTTTTGGTTGCTTGAACTCTTCAATAACACACCCAGAGATATCATTTTTTAAATTACCTGAAATATTGGAAAGCTGTCTTACCTTTATAGAATATTTTTTATATACCTATCTACTAGTACGTTATTTGTTTCATATATTTAGGTATTTCGGTTTTTCCATCGGGCAAAATATCTGGAATAATATATAAATAAGTGGTTAGGATGTAAGAGACAAAACAAAACTACATAAAATACTGTAGGCTGGCGGCCCTACCGCGTGCCAACACAGCGCTCGGTGTAGGCATTTATTTTCAAGGACAGGGCGGAGTCACAATACTGTATAGATAATATTACCGTGGTAGTGTCAAGTTTATAAACCGCGCGTGCGTATCTTTTAAATTTGTGACAAGAGAAGATTTGCAAATAATGCCTTGATTAGTTCTGGTTCTGTGGCCTCAATATAAGAAGTTGGATATGGTGTGTTGTTATTGTAGTGTCACGGAATACTCAGCAGAGCCACAAGGCTTTACGAAAATAGGTTTAGTGATTGATTGTGTTTACAAAGTGTATACGGGAAGTTAAAGTGAAAAAAATGAATAGGTTCATCGGTCTCGTAAGTACTTTTGAATACCTTGTAACAATTTTTGTTATCACCGACTATTTCAGGGCTTTTACATGAGACTCGAAATTAATTAATCTATAATCAGGGCGCCGTATTACTGTTATTTGAGGGAGATAAAATAAAAAATCAATAACCGCAGTGAACAAGATATATGTATTGTTAATATTCAGTTCAATTTTCAACATATATTAACACACTTAACATTATAAATTAATATCTATGAAGATGGCTTTTATAAATTTAGGTATAGAGAATCAGTGACGAACATACAGTCAAAACAGGTGTACATACAGTTATATTAATGTTAATATTCTAAGGAAACATTTTATTTTAGCAAGTATCGTACATACAAATTTATTTATATTAAGATTCTAAAGAAACAATTCGTTTGGCAAATATGAAGCTATTTTCGTTAATGAATCTACAGTTTACAACAATAAATCTTTTATTATGTTCCAACAATCTGAAACTTCGTACTTCGGAGAATGCACTGCTTAAAGATTAAATAGGTTGAGAGTTTACTTAGCTTTCAAGATCTTGGTACCATCAAGCGATTCAGGTATCCACGTGGGTTGTAACAGAATCTGCTGTCATCACATGTGCTCTTTTTCGATCAAGAATGCATTCACAGGCTCATTTATATATACATAGCG